GAGAGGAAGATAGAATGTAAGTGTGAGCAAGAGAAATGAATACAAGAGAGGTATCTAAATAAAATGATGGAGAGTTGGTAAGTGGAAAAGCAAGTGTGTGTGTGAGAAGAGAGAGAGAGAGTCAGGAAGTGAGATAGATATAGAATGAGTGAGAGAGAGTGTAGAGGGAAAGGACAATGCAAGCAGCCAAGAGAGATAGTGAGAGAGAGATGAAGATAATGAGAGAGCGAATGAGAGAGAGTGAGATAATGAAGAAAGAAGATATAGTGGGAAAAGAGAAAGGGAGGTGTTAGGAGAGAGAGTGTGTGATAGAGCAAGAAAGAGAGAGAGATAGTGAGAGGGAGAAAAGAGAGAGAATAGAGAGAGCAAAAGAGATATAGAGTAAGTAAGAAAGAATGATTGAGAGAATGAAGGTGATAAGGGAGGGAGAGTTAGAGTAAACAAGAGAGGGGGAGAGAGAGAGAGTTAAAGAGAGGATGAAAGGGCAGATAGAGATGAATGAGTAAAGATAGGAAGCAAAAATTAAAGAGTTAAAGAGAGGGTGAGATGGGAAGAGAGAGAAGAATGAATAAAGATAGGAAGTGGGGTAGGGATAGAGAGAGTGAGTGTGAGTGGGAAGAGAGAGATAGAGCAAGAAGTGAAATTGCGAGAGAGCGAGTGACAAAGAATGATAGAAGAGAGTAAAAGTGTTAATAAAAGAGAGGGAGAGAGAGGGTAAGAGAGCAAGATAGACAAAGAGGGAGCGATAAAGTGAGGGAGAAAGATAAAGAGAGGGAGAATTAAAATGAGATAGAGAAAGAGAGGGAGAGAGCATGAGAGATATATAGAAAGAGATAGAATATAAAAGAGGGAGAAAGGAATGGAGAGAGATAGAGGGATAGAAGGAGTGAGAGGGAGAGAGAGGGAGTGGGAGTGAGAGGGAGAGGGGGGAGAGAAAGAGAGGGAGACAAAGATATATATAGAGTTGTGGAATAATAGAGCGAGAGAAATTGAGAGATAAATTGAGAAAGAGTGGAGTAAGAGTGGGAGAGATAAAGAGAAAATGATAGCTAGATGCAGATGAGAGAGTGAGGGGAGCAAGAGTGAGAGAAATACAGAGGAGTGAAAAAGACAGAGGGAAGAGAAACATAAAAAAATAGAAAGAAAAGGTAGAGAGGGAGGGAGAGTGAAAGAAGAAAAGCGAGCGGAAAGAGAGAGAGGAAAAGGACAAGAATGAGTCTTAGAGAGCTGGAGGAGAGAGGGGGGGCAAGAAAGAGGGAGAAAGGTATAAATAAGGAAAAGAAAGGATGGGGGAGAGGCGAAGAGTGCAAAATTGACAAGGAGAAGGGATTATGGAGAGTGGGAGTGAAAGATCGAGAAAGAGTGATAGTTTTTTAGAGAGGGAAAGAAGGAGC